GTTGTTGTTGTTGGTTCACGTTGAGAAATTATGTCAGTACAAGAAGTTACATTCACATCATCAGTACAGTTACAATTTTCAGTTGTTGTTCTTGTTGTAGACTTTGTAGTGTTTGTGGAAATTATATTTGTATTTGTATTTGTTAGCGGGAGGTGGGATTGGTGATTAGTCGGTTTATTTTGATTGTGGTTGTGATTTGGATTTTTGTTTGTGTGATGGTAATGAATTTGATTCTGATTTTGACTATGATTTTGTTGATGATGATGATTGCTATTGTTATTATTACTATTAAAATTATTATTGATGTGGATGTGACTATGACTTGCATGATTTTGATTTACAGTTTGGGTATGGTTGTTGTTGTGGTTGTGGTTGTGGTTATGATTCAGTTGGGATTGTCGATTACTGTGTTGGTAATGGTGATTTTGATTCACTTGGTTGCGAACTTGGACATAGTTTGAGTTTTGATGTGAACTAGAGCTGGCCTTGGAACTTTGATTACCCAGACTAGGACGGGTTTGTAGGTAATTATTTGAGGAACAGGAGTTGTTCAGAGGTATGTGTGAGCCGACCGCTGTTGCGCTGGTCGTAAGGGATATCTGAAGCGGTGACAACAACGCGGGAAATTTAAGGCTAGACTTCTTTTCCGGATCTTTTAGGTGGCAATTGTTAAGTGTGGCAACATTCACTGTCGAAGGTGACAGAGGTGCAATGGTGATATTGTTCGCAAGCTCACACAAACGAGAATCGGGCGGCGGCTTGGGACTGTGGTTCGGAAAGTGAAATATACTACTTGTTGGAGACAGGGGCACTGGGGATAATAGGGAGGTTAGATTGGCAGTAGTCGCGTTGGAATAAAACGCCGGTTGTGGAGAACTAGTATTGGATGGATTGCCAGAGGATGAAGCGGATGTGGAACTACAGGCTGATGCTGAGCCAGAGCTAGAGCCTTGGTGGGTATATGGCTGGTGCGTTTGTTGTTGCGATTGGTGGTGAAAGTGATTTTGGTGGTTGTGGTTGTGGTTGTGGTGTGTTTGGCGATAATGGTGATGATGGGCTTGGCTTTGACTATTACGATGATGGTGATGATGCTGACTATTGCAGTTACTATTGCCATTACTACTATAATTGGTAACATTATGATTAAACTGAATGTGGTTGTGGTTTTGGTGGTAGATATGACCATTGCCATTACTATGACTGTGAAGATTGTGACTGTGGTGACTATGATGGTAATTGTGGTTGTGATTTCCTTTGCTATTATTAGGACAGCTTCCACTGTTTTT